AAAAAAATCCTGTCTGGACAAGGTCACGTGATTGCAAACATAGAATGTGTGAGGTACTAACTTGTATATCCGTCAAAATACATTGTAACACCCTTACTGACTTCCCATTGTTTGTTTTGGTGATAAAATATTATCTTGTCGATACAACAAAAAATACCATATCAACAATAACCCAAATCCAAGATGGCCACCAACCTGATTGAAAGTCACCGATTCAAAAAATAGAATAAATCCCCTATTCTAAGATAGCTGCCATGGCTTCTGATTGGCTGAGGCCTTTCTAGTTACACTTTTTATTTTGTTGGTCTGATTTTGTTCATGCTTGTTGATGAATAATACATTTGTATTTGTTTGTAAATTCTTTTCTAAATATTCTGAAATCCAAAATAATTGTCGTTGCTTCTGCTTTGCAATGGTGGGGGATTTACATGCAAGGGCCCTTTCTGACTTGTCAGTGTTCTAGCTTTAATTAAGGATTAACTTTTTATTTTGTTTTGTTTATGAGATATTTATTTTGTTTTGTTTATGAGATAATAAATCCAATGGAGCACGAGGTAAATTGCATAAACGTTCGCGTTTACGAACAATTTACCGACTGCTCCATTGGATTTATTATCTCATAAACCAAACAAAACAAAAGGTTAATCCTTATATTTACAATATTTTCTATTAACAATAACACCATTAAAAGAAGCGGATACAAGCATTTACCTTGTGTAATCTGCGTCCAAAATTATTTTGACGTCATGTTAATCCATGCGAAACAGCCATTCACAAAAGCTGTTGACAGACAGCTAAACCCCGCCCACTTTATCCGTGACAACAAATGAAAAAAGTTCCTCCATTTCAATATTTTTATTCACATAAAATATCCATATTTAACTTCATACAATATCTTCATAATTGTATTAGTAGGTAATGAAATAGAAAATGTTATATTTGTATAAAAATTGAGGTACTGGGGCAAAATACTTAGTAGAAAATACTAATGACCACGGACGTCCATTTTTTAAGAGAGATGCGCCAAATGGCGGGAAATAGATAGTGCTACCATGTCGTCGAGGGATAGTGACTAGTGACTAGGCCTTGTGGAAGTTGAATGTGCAGTTATTGAAATTGCTGTTTGTAAGCAAACCAGGGGTTTGTACAGATGACATGTACACTGTATATTGTGTATAACTCGTTTGTGGACCGGGTGACTGTTGATGTAACATTTGGGAGACGAGAAATTTGACCTACATTTCTAGGAACGATAGTCATCATGTCTGTGCCGACACTCGTAGATGAGAGAGTGGAGCTGGTGGAGCGTTTTTGTATCGACGAACAATCACGGCTATAGCTTCTGACACTAGCTTCATTTTTATGACCGGTCATGAACATGATCTGTCTTGTCTTGAACCCGACATCATTTAGTGTCTCGAACGCATGGTAGTCTAAATGCTAGCATTCGTTTATAAACATTGACACGAGGTTTGCGGAAAGAAGTCTGCCCATATTTACATATATTCATACGCGGTGAACTGGATCATGTTCTACACTCAAGTTATTGAGAAATAAACAGACTTGCCTACACTTACGTTATCGATTCAGAAACAGTGGCAATTGTAAATATTATTACTAACATGACATATTTACATATTAAGAAGTTTTTTATGGTCATACGTGTGAAAAAGTTTTGAAGTAGAAATTGTCAGTAAAATTGTTTCGGTCAACTTTGGTTATTTTATGGGAAACATCTGATATTTTGATTCAGGACTCTGGAGTAATGTTACAGGCCTGGGTTATCATTGGTCTACTACAGATGTAGTTTAACAGTTTAACTGAAGTAATGTTTTGGCTGTGGTTACAGGTCTGGGTTATCATTAGGTCACCTGAGACAAAGTCTCAAGTGACCTATTGCGATCGCCTTTTGTTCGTCGTCGTCCGTCCGTAAACAATTTACATTTTCGACTTCTTCTCCAAAACCCCTGAACCAATTCAATGAAATTTTGCAGGAACCTTCCATGGACAAAGGTCAACAAAAATAATGGCCGTTTTAGTCCCAAGCCTCCAGGGGCCTGAGGGGCGGGGCCAAAAAGGGTCAAATTGACTAAAATTTCAAAAATCTTCTCTCAAGACCCAGATATGGTAGAATCAAATACTCTTCATAGATGGAAGGGTCTTAAGGTGCTTTACCAAAATGGTGAATTTCCTGACCCTGGGGTCTCACGTTTCCCCCTGGGGAGGGGGTAAACTTTACTATAGTTTATATAGGGAAATCACATTTTGGACCAACATTTGTTTAATTTCCATTGGAAGTAATTCAATTTGGGTTAGCATTATCAGTATTAGGTAGTAGTTTGATAGTATGCCCATATCAGCCCTGACTGACCCCCCGGGGCTGATGGGTGGGGCCAAAAAGGGTTGAATTGACTGAAATTTCAAAAATATTCTTCTCAAAGACCCAGATGTGGTAGAATCAAACACTCTTCATAGATGGAAGGGTCTTAGTCTTAAGGTTTATGACCCTAGGGTCTCACGTTTACACCCTTGGGAAGGAGTAGGGCGGCAAAATTTATTATGGTTTATAATGGCAAATGATACTTTGAATATTACATGTTAATAACTTGATTGGAATTATAACCTTGAGTTGACAGTTCGATACTTTGAAATTTTGAGCCAGCCCTACCCCCAAGGGCTGTAGGGTGGGGCCCAAAGGAGTCGGTGTGCTAAAATTTCTTCATTTTCCTTGTTTAGAATCAGAGGTGCTAGTTTCAAATACTTTTTAGTCTTAAATCTGTATGCTAGATAATGAATAAGGTGGTTTTATTGTTTTTTGTCACTTTGAATAATATTTCTGTTCATGTTAAAAACAAAATCAATTCTCTGTATAAATATATCAGGTGACCGTTAAGGCCCATGGGCCTCTTGTTAGTCTACTACAGATGTAGTTCAACAGTTTTACTGGAGTAATGTTTTGGCTGTGGGTACAGGCCTGGGTTATCATAAGTCTACTACAGATGTAGTTTAACAGTCTAATCCTCCGACCGTGGTGACATCAAGTGTATCAGGTGTTTGTCCACACAACGTACAACACCTCTGAATTCCTGGACAGAAAGGGCACTGGGGTCGTATTGGGAGGGTCAAAGGTCACACGGAGATAATTGATACCTGTGGTTATAAGAATTATAATGGTCTTAATGGTTGACCAATTGATGACTAGCAAAGCATAGGGACTGACCAATCAGTGACCAGGGTATGGACATCTGGCCGGAGTGAAGTGTGGGTGAAATCTTTACAATGTACAAATTTTGTAGGTGTGAGTTGATTGTTACATTTATAAATGGGGGGACCATTTAAACTCACTCACTGTAGAAACATTTGAAATGCTCCAAAGACGACAATAGTTCAGAAAACCTGTTATGTACAAGTCCTGGTCATTTATGCTGAAACACTTCAGATTTCAGGAGAGGAGAATTTGGAGATCTTGATCATTCTTTTTTGGCAGGGGCTCTGTGTATTTAAGTTAGAAATACATTACCTGGTAATATGACAAGGTTTTGGTCTATTGAAATTATTTTGAAATAAAGTACTTAAACATGTTACCATAAAGGTCCAAGGACTCCACTTTTTTTTTTATGATTTATGTATTACAAGGCCTGACACCCTATACAAATACACTTTCTGGAATATGAACATTGTGTAATGTAACAAAAGTCATTATCTTAATATATCACTACTTGGGGATCAAACCCAGGACCTCTGGTTTAATATACAATTGCAAGTCTGCAATCTTTCCTGTCGAATCGTCAGGAATCGGCTGGAATTTTATCAGGGTGACATACATTCCAATAAGTATTAAAAGTTTATCATGAATGATAATATGGTGTTGATCATAAATTAAATATTAAAGATTGCGTCAAGAAAAAAGTTAATGGTAAGTACACGAAAGTACATTGTACCAGGTAATAACATTCAGCCAACAGTGTTTGTCATATTATGTTAACTAAATATTTTGTTTGACTGCCCTGGGTGGCCCATCGCTGCAGGACCCTATGACTCTTCCTGGCCCTTTTGTAAATGTATAGGAGCTTTGAACTCCTTTCGTTTCTGTATGGGACCTTAAACCTCCGTATTGGCTACCACACAATTATCCTGCTCCGTTTACAGTGACACATGGCTGTTTCTATAAGGTACTTCTATTTGTGTCACCAGGTAAAGGAATTTATCAATTATTCCATACACTTCATTCAACTTTATACATGTCGGCCTGACAGTAGTGTGGGGGTCGTCTCAAAAGGTATTTTGTTACTAAAGGGAGCAGAGCTGGAGGAATTTTGAAGTTTCCATAAAATAAATGTGGTTTCTAGTGTTTTGATCAGTTGGTTCACAAAGTTAACAAAACCCCCTGATTCATATGAAATATGGTTATTAATGATTTAAATTTGTTCAACAAAACCCCCCCAAAAAACTACATATAAAACTGGTTGTTATTGTCATATTGATTCACTGCTTCACCAACTTGTAATAATTGAGTTAGTTGATGGACAAAGCCATAAGTTTACCTAGCTCTACGTCCATACTAAGGTGTAATGTTGACTCTGATTAATATTTTACAAGTGTATAGCAGTTTTTAAATGTACTTATTTACATCACTATGATATAAATCTATGTATCAACAAAAACCTTTTTTAAATATTGTTATTTAAATAAGCTGTATGAACAACCACATGTGCTAGGCATGGACACACCAGACTAGTAACATGATGTGTATATGCTATACTATTATACAGTGTGTCCAGCACCTGGCTGTGTGAAAAACTAAAATAGATTACAAAAGTTGTGATGTGTATGTCTAATGAAGATGATGTTCTGTTTCAGAGAAGTCTTTTTTTACTCTTTTGATTTACAGAAACTGATGATTGAATGTGGATTGGATGAAGTAAAAATGATAAAAAAATCCTCTATATGCAGGAAATCTTTTGATTCAAGAAATTAAAAGATATTTTTTCTGTCTACAGATAACGATAGATGGAATGCTGATAACCGTTCTGTTTTGGAGGCGACACATAGCACTGGTAAGTAAACCAATCACAGGTACATATTGTACATAATAGTATCTACCTGTGTTATTTAATTACCTGGACTTACCTGACATTGTGTATGACCTGCTGAACAGGTGTGTCTATATATATATATATGGCTAGTGAAGGTGAGAACTGCATACCTTTACTGATATCTATTTTTCCCATGGGAAACCTTCCCCGAACCAAATCTTGTGATCTCTAATTCACAGGTTAGGAGATTGGTGCAGGGGGGTTGGGGGTTGGGGGTCGGGAGGGACGGAAAGCAATGGTCTAATTCAAAGGGAAGAAAAATGGAACTGGGAAACTAATTTTAACATCGGGCTGTAGTGTTCAAATTTGTAAAGGGGCGAGGAGAGGGCTTTTATACTCAGTATTAAAGATTAAAAGTAAAGAATTGTGACTGTAAATTACAGGTGTGTGAACTAAAGTGTTCGGTGATTTATCATGTTGAGGTTGTATGATTGACTTTGAAGTTTTGTTATTTCCTATAAATTTGGTTAGATTAAGGCTTTATTTGTATTATTTCCTAAACGACTAAATTATGCAACTAAATTATGCTTCATAAGAGTCCGCTTTAAAGTTTTCCCAAACTTATGCCAACTTATGCAATTTCATAATTTGTAAATATTATGTATGGAATTGAATCTATTGCATATGTTCTCCGCCATTGTACAATATATTTGTAAAGTATTCATCTATATGTATATTTCTGTATGCCTATATGCAATGTGCATTTGGTAATAAATTGAATTGAATTGAATCATCTTTTATCATAATCTCTAAATGTAGACAATCGGTCAAGGTCAGGTGACACACCTACATGTCATCAAACTGTCCTGAGCAGATAAACTGGACAGGTATTGTCCCAGACAGGTGTAAATGTCACTGATAGGGGTCAGAAGCTGGGGAAGTGTGGGATGTGATGTAACTACATATTTATACTACAAGCAAGGTAGAGGCAGGGATATATGTAGAAATTATTTTTGAATACCACTAGTCAATTTGAGTAGTAGCTTCCAATTTTGACTAGTCTATGTGTAGATTTCACTAACCCAATATTATGCAACAAGATAAGCAATGTCAGATTTGGACTATTCAATCGGGCTAGCGGTTTTTAAAACTACTTAGAAAAAACAATTGTCCAGCTGGAAATTTCACAAGTCTCAGACTAACGAGCTACCCTTATATTTGTCTAGCCCTGTGGAGATCACCAGATGTACCTGGGTATTAGGATTTTTTTTGCCTGTCTGTTTGTCTGTACACCAATCATATATCAATCTGTTGAGTTTAATTGTAGACACTATTTTTCCTGGACTAACTTCCTGAAATCCAGCAAAATTTCCCAGTGAATAAATTCCACTTGATCAGTAAGCAAGGAAGGTGTTTAATTTATTAAAAGTAAAAATTCAATTCATTTTAGGTCACCCGTTGAAGGAACAGAAATACAACTTTTAGACTTTCCTTTTTGGACCTAATCTCAATGTTTAAGTTTAATGTGAAAGTTTTTTTTAGAGGGTTTGCTAATCACTACAATTTTAATATTTTCAAAAGAGACTTCATTATTTTTCAAAAATTAGTAAATAAGTTAGATTTGAGAAGCTTTGACACAATCTCATCATTAGCTGAAATTTCAAAGGATGTGTCAATCTGTATGGAAAGTAATATTGGCCCCTATGTATCTGTTGATAAGTTGTGTTTTATATTTTCAGGTATTTGTTGAGGTGGTGTTGTGTTTTGGAGTTGGGGCATTGTGTGCCGCCTTAGCTGTGCTGACTGGGACACACATCCTCCAGCCAATCAGAAGCCTCCAGGACTGTATCCATGACGAAAACCGTAAAGTGTGTGCGTGTACCAGTAATTACAGACGGAACGCTCTCCTTCTGGAGTCGAGTAAAGGTCAGTATATGTTTTTGTTCTGTGAATAAGTATCAAGTAGAAGTAAAAAATAATCCCTCTGCACCCTTCCCCAAAACACTCAACCTCCCTACTCTCTCCCCTGGTGTTTGGTGTCGGAGAGTTTTGAGGTGCTGACAACAAAAATTGACTATGACACAACACATACCTTACATATATCAATAAATGGATTATTATCACCAACAGCTGCTAAATTCCATCAGTAGAGTCCTCGGTTTTCAATCGTTCAAAATTTCCCACCTGAGCGAACACCATTTTTGTAGGTTAGGGGAGTGACTAATCAACAAAAAGAGGCGGTCTGGAAATCTCCTAAACCAGAATGATAAATTCTGTTTTTGGTCCAGATTAGTACGGTATATGGTCAGAGGAAACTATGGCTACCCCTACCCTCAAATTCAGTTGTCAGCTGTAATTGCCATGGCTTGTAACCTATTATTAATGCTATACACAATGCATCTCCAGCACACACACAGGCATACACACATAGGGAGATATTAGCCAGGTGGCATAGGACTAGTAGTTAGAGTCTGATAAGGCAGCTCCTGCAAATTCCTCAAAATTGATTAATGTATTATTTAATGAATACGTTAATTTTATTGGTTGTATAAATTGTATACCTATGTAATGTAAAGTGCTTTAGAGTGACTTATTCTAGCTAGATAGGGCACTCTATCAAATGTTGTATATTTATTTGTAATTATGATGTCAAAATCGGCAACACTGGATAACAATGACCTGTCCTTGAAGATAGCTTTTTTAGCTCACCTGGTCCGAAGGACCAAGGTGAGCTTATGCCATACCGTGGCGTCCGTCGTCCGTCCGTCCGTCTGTCCGTCCGTCCGTCCGTCCGTCCGTCCGACCGTACGTCAACAATTTCTTTAAACGACTTCTTCTTCTTAACCACTGGTTGGAATTAAACTAAATTTGACTGGAAGCATCCCCAGGTGGTGGGGATTCAAAATTACACAAATGGTGGGGCTGACCCCCCAGGGGGCTGAGGGGTGGGGCCAAAAGGGGTCAATTTGCCCATATTGCTTTAAGCGACTTCTTCTCTGGAACCAAGAAGTGGATATAAACCATATTTGGCTGGAAGCATCCCTAGGTGGTGGTGATTAAAAATGTACAAATGGTGGGGCTGACTCCCCAGGGGGCTAAGGGGTGGGGCCAAAAGGGGGCAATTTGGCTATATTGCTACAGACGACTTCTTCTGTAGAACTGTGCACTGGATATCAATCATATTTGATCAAAAGCATTCCTGGGAGGTAGGGATTAAAAATTGTACAAATGGTGTGGCTGACCCCCCAGGGGGCTGAGGGGCAGGGCCAAAAAGGGTATTTGGCTATACTGCTTTAAGTGACTTCTTCTCTGGAACTAAGTGATGGATATCAACCTTATTTGACTGGAAGCATCTTTAGGTTGTGGAGATTCAAAATTGTACAAACGGTTGGGCTGACCCCCCCCCCAGGGGGCTGAGGGGGGGGGCCAAAAGGGGGCAATTTGGTTATATTGCTATAAACGACTTCTTCTGCAGAACTATGCCATGGATATTGATCATATTTGGTCGGAAGTATTCATGGGAGGCAGGGATTCAAAATTGTACAAATAGTGGGGCTGAACCCCCGGGTTAAGGGGTGGAGCCAATAAAATGTATTACTTGGAAATGGTTGAGATCCCCACCATATAACCATATATACAATTGCTGAGTATAAAGAGAAGAATGCACATTTGCTTCCAGGATGGCCCTAGGGTCTGGCCCCACCCTTGGAGATATAGTCCCTGGGCCATAACTTTAAAACGGTTGAGATCCCCACCCCAAAACTATATATACAAAGACAAATGAAGTCACGATGTTAGAATCGATCCTGGGGTCTGGCCACAACTCTAGGGACCTAGTTTCTGAGTCAAAGCTTGGAAACAGTTGAGATTCCCAGCCCATAATCATACATAAAATTGCTGGGCATGAAAAATCTAATATAGCTATGCTACAAGGATTGGCCTTGGGTTCTGGCATATTCCCTTGATCTCATTTGGAGAATAGTTTGCCATGATTGCTTAGGTATCCAGGTGAGCGATACAGGCCCTCTGGGCCTCTTGTATTGGAAGTACAGAGGTATACATTTAATTTGCAGTAAATTCTAACTCTAAATATGAATTTCTTTTTCTATAGAATATATACATGTACTCTGAATGGTAGATATGTTCCTTGAACTGATTATACATGTAGGTGGCAGTTACAAGGCAATAATAATGCCAACTTGAAATATATGCATACTTTATACTGGTGTTACAGACCCAAGTCTCTACACATTTGATGGGACCATCAGCTGTACATCGGTGGAGGATATCCTACCAATATTCCTGTATGTACAGATTGGACTGTTTGCCATTGTCTTCATCCTATGTGTCACCACAAAGATCCTGGCCTTTCTGGTACTGAAGCTGGAGAGGACCTCGCTGGCCACACTACAGGTACCTAAGTAGACAGGGTTATTCCCCCTGTTATAGAAGAGATAGTTATCTCCCTGAAGAAATACAGATATATATTTATTTCGCCTGCCATACCACATAAGAGTAAACTCCCCTGTAAAGCTACAGTTATCTCCCCATTTTTATTAGCTCACCTGGTCCGAAGGACCAAGGTGAGCTTATGCCATACCGTGGCGTCCGTCCGTCTGTCCGTACGTCAACAATTTCTTTAAACGACTTCTTCTCCTTAACCACTGGTTGGAATTTAACTAAATTTGACTGGAAGGATCCCTAGGTGGTGGGGATTCAAAATTGTACAAATGGTGGGGCTGACCCCCCAGGGGGCTGAGGTGCGGGGCCAAAAGGGGTCAATTTGCCCATATTGCTTTAAGCGACTTCTTCTCTGAAACTAAGAAGTGGATATCATCCATATTTGACTGGAAGCATCCTTAGGTGGTGGTGATTAAAAATTGTTCAAATGGTGGGGCTGACTCCCCAGGGGGCTTAGGGGCGGGGCCAAAAGGGGGCAATTTGGCTATATTGCTACAAACGACTTCTTCTGTAGAACAGTGCACTGGATATCAATCATATTTGATCAAAAGCATTCCTGGGAGGCAGGGATTTAAAATTGTACAAATGGTGTGGCTGACTCCCCAGGGGGCTGAGGGGCAGGGCCACAAAGGGTATTTGGCTATACTGCTTTAAGCGACTTCTTCTCTGGAACTAAGAAGTGAATATCAACCATATTTGACTGGAAGCATCCCTAGGTGATGGTGATAAAAAAATGTACAAATGGTGGGGCTGACTCCCCAGGGGCTAAGAGGCAGGGCCAAAAGGGGGCAATTTGGCTATATTGCTACAAACGACTTAATTCTTCTGTATAACTGTGCACTAGATATCAATCATATTTGATCAAAAGCATTCCTTGGAGGCAGGGATTTAAAATTGTACAAATGGTGTGGCTGACCCCCCAGGGGGCTGAAGGGCAGGGCCAAAAAGGGTATTTGGCTATACTGCTTTAAGTGACTTCTTCTCTGGAACTAAGTGATGGATATCAACCTTATTTGACTGGAAGCATCTCTAGGTGGTGGAGATTCAAAATTGTACAAACGGTTGGGCTGACCCTCCCAGGGGGCTGAGGTGCGGGGCCAAAAGGGGGCAATTTGGTTATATTGCTATAAATGACTTCTGCAGAACTATGCCATGGATATTGATCATATTTGGTCGGAAGTATTCATGGGAGGCAGGGATTCAAAATTGTACAAATGGTGGGGCTAACCCCCCGGGCTAAGGGGTGGGGCCAATAAAATGCATTACTTGGAAATGGTTGAGATCCCCACCATATAACCATATATACAATTGCTGAGTATAAAGAGAAGAATGCACATTTGCTTCCAGGATGTCCCTAGGGTCTGGCCCCACCCTTGGAGACATAGTCCCTGGGCCATAACTTTAAAACGGTTGAGATCCCCACCCCAAAACTATATATACAAATGCTGGGCATAAAGAGACGATATGCAGTCATGATATCAGAATAGACCCTGGGGTCTGACCGAACCCCTAGGGACCTAGTTTCTTAGTCACAGCTTGGAAACAGTTGAGAGCCCCGCCCTATAACCATATATATACAATTGCTGAGTATAAAGAGATGATTGCACATATGCTTTCAGGTTGGCCTTGGGGACTGCCCAACCCTTGGAGACTTAACCCCTGGGTCATAACTTTGAAATGGTTAATATCCCCACCCCAAAACTATATATACAATTGTTGGGCATAAAGAGACGAATGCAGTCATGATATCAGAATAGACCCTGGGGTCTGACCGAACCCTTAGGGACCTAGTTTGTTAGTCACAGCTTGGAAACAGTTGAGAGCCCCACCCTATAACGGTATATACAATTACTGAGTATAAAGAGATGATTGCACATATGCTTCCAGTATGGCCTTGGGGAGTGCCCCACCCTTGGAGACTTAACCCCTGGGTCATAACTTCAAAATGGTTTAGATCCCCACCCCAAAACTATATATATAAATGCTTGGCAAAAAGAGACAAATGCAGTCACGATATTAGAATCGATCCTGGGGTCTGGCCACAACTCTAGGGACCTATTTTCTGAGTCAAAGCTTGGAAACAGCTGAGATCCCCACCCCATAACCATACATAAAATTGCTGGGCATGAAAAATCTAATATAGCTATGCTACAAGGATTGGCCTTGGGGTCTGGCATATACCCTTGATCTCATTTGGAGAATAATTTGCCATGATTGCTTAGGTATCCAGGTGAGCGATACAGGCCCTTTGGGCCTTTTGTTTCAAAGCTTATCCTCTTCCCTTTTGTACTACAGGTATAATTAACTCTGATATTATGTGGTGTAAATCCATACGTTGACATTGTGTTGGAGAATAATTCAACATTCTTTTATCAAAATATTTATGCCATAAATCTTATAAAACTTGACATTTGTGTATTGTAGGAAGAAACTTATGAGGAAATCTTCACAGTCAGTGGCAGTTCATGCTCTGATTTAAACAGCGAGGATGAAGTCACAATTCAAACCGGATCAAACATCAGCTCCGCAGCAAATTGTGTCAATCCTGCAGTAAAAGGTCTCTGTGATCCCATTGGTCAAAAACATAATGGAATATATGCCCAGCCAGCGGGGATATTGAAAAATTTTGAAAGAACTGCCACTCCTTTATCTGACCTTACACCCACCAATCGTTTAATTAGGTCCAAGTCATGTGACTCAATTGATGAAATTTATGCTCGTAGTGCTAAAGGACCAGGGAGTGAACATGGTCCCGAGAAAGGCAAAGGGAAGTTAAAGGAACACAGGAGAAGGGAGAGAAGGGCAGTAACTCTACACAATCTAGACTCCAAACAGTTGATGTCTGTACTGAGCCTCCACATGCGATATCTAGAGGAAACAGAAATATTAAAATCTCGAACCAAAATCCAAACACTGACAGATACCGTCCCGGTAGAACTGAAACGAAGGGCCATAACTCCCCAGCCCTACCAACTCAAGTATGACCAAACAAGTACACTACCTCGTACGGTGAGGTCCCACACACCGCAGCCAAACCAGAGGCTGACGGACAAACAGGAGTGCCAGTACCGTATGATGATGAAACAGTTGATAGACTCGCCTCAGGGAAGCGGGCTTCAACACGCACAACAAAGTACAGCCAAATCTATTGGTTCTCCTCTACAGAAGGCAAAAAATCCAGCAAATCAACACAATCCTAATAAAAACATTATGGGTATTTCACACTCACTTCCCAATCACAGAAGAAATGAGATTGAATCTATAGGTAGCGAGTCTGTAGATGCAAGTGAAATAGACGAGGATTTAAACATCAAACAAATGCCCAAATCACGACCGTCCGTGAAAAATTACTTCCTACCTCCGCTGCCTATACACCGATCTAAGTCATTAACACCTCCTCACCTACCCGAACTCCAGCACAGGCCAGGGGTCAACAAAGGTCAGCTGCCTCCTCAGCCAATCAAACGTGGTGAAGACCCTAAAGGTCAACTCCCTCTGGACCCGGTTCACAGAGGCTCAGCCTTTCGCGTACCAGGTCACAGCATCAATGCCAATGGGTTGCCTAACAACAGGATTTATTCAAGGCCTGGTGATATCCATTGTGACAAGGCCTTGAGAGAAAACTTTCAGTTGTACGAGAGTCCCTTCCTGCTCCATAACAATGGGCAGAAAACTTTCGTACAGCCAAATTTCACTTTGTCTAACCATGCGGCAAGAAATCTGCCCCCACCCCCTTACGCCCCTCCCCCGTCTTACAAACATTTTATGTCTCTGTCACAGGACGGTTCCCTAAGTGATTTGGTCGACGATGAAAGCATCGATGGCTTCCTTCACAACAATCAAAGTGAACGATTGAATATAAATCCGAACTCTGCCAAACTGAAAGGTAACAGGACAGAAGTGACAATGTCCAGTGATGACGATGTGTTTCTTCCCGAGGACAAAGCTGTGTACAGTCAGGTTGCCAAGCGACCAATGCATCACCATGGTGATAAGGTGTCTCCTCACCATCACTACCACACACCTCACACACATTACCATTCTCCCCGTGACCATACCACTCCTCCGCGTGATGTCATGACGATTCCTCCCCGACAACCGTGTGATCCGAGAATACCTCCGGATGGTGTATATAATGTGTATGCTAACTATAATATGTACCAGAAGACAAATCCACAAGGTTCTGTTTGGACGCGTGGGGGAAATTATCCGCACGCCAACAATTACGAGGAAATTGATGACCTTGATGTAAATATGACCTACTCCTATGAGGATAATTCATCGTGTGGGATGTCAAGTCAGGCATCGCTGATACCACAAGAACAGAAACCGTGGTCACATAACGACACTCACCCCTTCACTGGTGGGGAACCGGAGGTTCTAGAAACCATGATATAGGGGATGGTACCTCAATCCTCAAGTGTATTGAAACCAGAGGTTTTGGAAACCATGATATAGGGGACAACACCCAAAACCTCTCAAGTGTAGCTACAGGGATACCAGAGGTTTTAGAAACCATGATATAAGGGACAACACCTCAATTCTCAAGTGTAGGGATACCAGAAGTCCAGGAAACCATTATATAGGGATTACACCCCAAAATCTCTTGAGTGTAGGCTAGGGAAACCATGATATAGGGAACTATGCCCCACTCGAGACCCATTCACCCCTAAAGTCACATTTGAATCTTACCACATCTAAGACTTGGCCAGTCCAGTGTAAATATGTAGGGGTGAGTGAGTTTATTATGTCGGAATCAGTGGGATGGAGGAAAGTGATTTATAGAATGTGACTTGGATCCAAAGATGGTGATGTTCTAAAAGTGACTCCGAGACTGGGAAAAGTTTAGCAATGATCTAAAGATCAGAGGCACCTTTTAAAAGTGATACTAGGACAGTGGAATGCAATCAAATTGATCTACAGATTGAAACTGTGTAAAAGTGATATAAACACAGTGGAATGCTCTAGAAATGATACTTAGACAGTGGAATGCTCTAAAAATGATACTTAGACGGTGTAATGCTCTTAGAGATGATACTTAGACAGTGGAATGCTCTAGAAATGATTCTTAGACAGTGGAATGCTCTAGAAATGATTCTTAGACAGTGGAATGCTCTAGAAATGATTCTTAGACAGTGGAATGCTCTAGAAATGATTCTTAGACAGTGGAATGCTCTAGAAATGATTCTTAGACAGTGGAATGCTCTAGAAATGATTCTTAGACAGTGGAATGCTCTAGAAATGATTCTTAGACAGTGGAATGCTCTAGAAATGATTCTTAGACAGTGGAATGCTCTAGAAATGATTCTTAGACAGTGGAATGCTCTAGAAATGATTCTTAGACAGTGGAATGCTCTAGAAATGATTCTTAGACAGTGGAATGCTCTAGAAATGATTCTTAGACAGTGGAATACTCTAGAAATGATTCTTAGAGAGTGTATTGCTATATAGAAATGATTCTTACACAGTGGAATGCTATGAAAGAGGTCTAGAGTCTGGAGTATATTAAATACTTCTGTTGAACACGAAGGGAGAAGTATCCACTTTGTTATAACTGTGAGGAAATTGATGACCTTGAGTGAAAACCGTGGAACAGTATAACGGTGATCATAAAGACAGTGAATAACGTGCCATTCTTGCCGCCTGATAAATCAGTGTTACCTTGTTATCATGTTATTATGTTACATACCAGCACATTTTTTCTCTAGCTCCCTCAGCTGCCAATATAGTTTTTCGTTGAAATGTTTATTTTTAAAACAAACTTCCTCATTTGAGTCTGATAAGGTCTATATATATATACTGTATGATTGGTAATATTTGTGAGAGATTTAATTTCAGATTATTTTGATATAGTTGCTGTTACCAAAGATACCACAAAATCAAACGACCAGTGAATATTATCACTATGAATTATAATCTCGGTGAATATTTAAATCTACAGACACAAGAAATGTTTACCATCTATTTAGTATAACATTTTATGTTATTTTTATGTTATTTTCATAAACCCTTTTAAAATAGATCCCATGAACTAAAAGAATATAAGCACCCTCATGAGCGTGATGTTTTGACCTAGCCATGTTTGCCTAAATTTTTATCCCTGCAAACTTGTTTTTAATGGGCCGGGACACCCACAAAATATAAGTCTGCGAAATTATGCAGTAAAAACCAATATTAAATGACACACATTTTTCATACATCTTCATAATCATAATCATGTTTAGGTTGGTGGTTTGTGATATTGACTTAGTGTTAATATATTTAGAAACTTTTAACAGGTTAATATTATTCAATTATAGCCTTTGGCTGAGGTTGATACCGGGATTTATCGACCCAAGAAAAGATATATTGACCTTGGACGAAGTTAAAGGCTACAATTGTTTTATTATTTTCAAAACAGTAATGTAAGCAATCTGAAAAAAGACCATGACAAAAAACCTTCAGAAGCGGGACGTTGCGTTGTTTGGAGACACATCATAATTCTATTTTTAGAAACACCCAGTCCTTCAACAAAAATGATATGCTCCAAGTCAATATGGGTTTACATTGGTGGACAACGTGATGCACTCCTGGCTGATCACTTGTCAGGAAAAATATGAAAAAATAATAATGGTTTATAACCTTATTTCAATTTTAACATCACAGTGTTCCCTAGAAAAAAATGATACTTTTCTTTGTATGTTTTCATATGTTCCATTTTGTTTAGTAAGTAAATATTATTTAGCATCTAATGTATAAAGACGTTTATTTTGATGAATTTGTGGTAACAAAAGACCTGAGAAAGGGATCTTGACATTGTCATGGTTAATATAACTTGTTCCATGTCCATATAACCACATATTGACCTCAACGAAAGTCTGTAATTGGTAACTGACGAAGCACTACAAAGTATTTGAAATCCTCTTGTGTACCATATTGGTAATAATCTATGTGTTGGTGCTGTGAGATGTACAGTACTTGTATATCTGTGACTGTTCTGACAGACATGTGGAATCTATATGATAGATCTATACAAAGATGGGGGAGGGGCTTTTCTTTTAACTCTTTAGGTAATGTGTTAATATTGACAGAATTGTTAAACAACTTCTATTGGTGCTTTTAATTGTGACAAAAAATTGTTGATATCTTTGTGAATTGTTGTGTGAAATGATTAAAATTTCTCATTCACCCCAGAAATTTCATAATGAACTATTCCAACCGTTGAATTGGAAGAGTTCAAATGTGTCTTCAAGGGTGAATGAGTTTTAATCAATTGTAATCTGAACCAATTTTTCTTTTATTATTAATATTTTTTTTCAAGTTCATATTCTTTGTTTATGATCACGACCATTGCTGTTTCAGGTAAAAGTATATAATATTATGTACATAATACTGTATATTTGTTATATCTGTAGTTATAAGTTGATGTACATGTTTTAGTTAGCTCATAATTTGGATCAGTGTGCTGTTTATTTTTTTGTGATTTAATTTCTTTAAGGAGAAGATATTAACTGAAGCTATTTGTGTCATACTACAATTTATTGGGCATTTTAAGTGTCTTTTATTTTTATTTTACTTTGTGCAAATTGTTCTGACATGATTGTACACATACATCATTAAACATGTAACAAACAGGTGATTTATGAAGAAAAGTTTTTTCGGTCGTAAAAAATGCATTTGAGATAAACAAAGAAAAAAAATCACCGCTAGAACTAATACTGTAGTCTATTTATAGATATTGAATAAATATATAGACATGAACGACAGATGATTTAAAAATTCTTTAAAATGTTACTTGGGACTCGCATTTTCAAATACTCATTTAAATTTTTGACATGTCAAGATAATAATTCTACAGCATTATTTTTCAAACTGTACAAGTTATCTCCCTTGCAGGTATCTTGTTTCTGTGACATTGTTACAGAGTTTTGTCATTTTCTCAAAAGTAAGAATTAATGTGAATGAAATCGAAATCATGATCAGAAAGCGTAAATGCAAACATTCATTTTAAAGCTGACAGTGCAAGTTAAAAAGCTTTCAATTGAGATTTTTTTTTTGTCTTTTTTTTCTGGTTTTGAGATTTTCCATATCTTCCAACTATCATTTCTAAGGAAGTGCCGACATTTTAGTTTTTTCCTTGCTTGGTATGGGTCTCGCTGGGTATAAAAAACGCAACATTAGTTTTAAGATTATTGCTATGGTGTTAAAACTCTTTAGGATTAGCCTCAAAGGCCATGCATAAAAAGATGGGAAGAAGACCTGTTCAAGAGGGATATTATTATTATTATACAAGGGAAGCAAGGTGTGTCGTTCAATAGTCGTATCCTGAATAACCAAACTACTCGGTAGTGAAGCAGACGTAAAACCAAGCAAACGAACAAATGAAAGAGACGACTGTTTTATTTGTCTTTTCGGATGTCAGTGTTTTAAATTCTACTTTTGATGTAACCTGTGATAAAAGAATCATGTTAACATTCTTCTAGGAACACAAATGTTTATTTTTCTTTTCCTTTTTTCCATTTTTAAGCAAAAATTCGTCTTTAATTTTTAATATGTTTTGTAAAATATCTATCCAAAAGCCATATTTGACATTCCTAATTGTTTTGGGACCAAATTGTTGATGCATTCAGTACTGATATTCTATGTTGAAGTATTGAACATCACAGTTAGACATAAAACACTAGAAACGGGAGATAATGTTTTACAAACATTAATTGCATGTAATATTTTGTTGTTGAGAAATGAATTTATGAATTGCTACTATGATAGCTCCAGGTATCCATGGAAACGCGATGTGTGTTGATGTGCACAGTGAGTGTACATAACAGAAATGTTTGCTGCAGTTTGAATTTTGAACTTAAAAATGAGCTGGAGGTATGACACCCGAGTTCTAATTACCAGGGTACTGTATAGCTGGAGGTATGACTCCCGAGTTCTAATTACCGGGGTACTGTATAGCTGGGGGTATGACACCCGAGTTCTAATTACCAGGGTACTGTATAGCTGGAAATTTTCGTTGAGTCGAGCTTCTGCCATTTTTCCGGTAAAATCCATATTTGAACAGTTTTAACTTCACCCCTTACATTTGATTATGTTGTTTACTTACGTTCTCTGTAACGATAATTTATGTAAATTATCCTTCACTACAGAGAGCAAAAAGTTAAACTGCAGCGAACTGTTCCCAGTATACAGTAAAGGAAGTAGACAAAACGAAAGTGTGATACTTACTGCCATGATTTTGTAGTATTTTGCTGTTATACATCCAGTCCAGTACGTAATAATATGATGTACATGTAAATCTGGTAACAGATCAGAGTCTTTTTAATCCATAGGACATCCATCATTGAACCGGGTGTCTGGGCAGACACTTTTGCCATAATTCCATATTTGTTGACCCAACAACTGATCTGACTTTACATGTAACTTGTTTTACATACATATATTCCTAAGGGACCAAAATAAGTTTTATGATGATAATTTTACTGTGCTGTTTAAATCATTATAGTTGTGGTGAGACTTCTGAATTTCAAGTTCCCAGATTGTTAAAAATTGCATTCTTCGTAAAGATTGCTTGTAAAGAAACCCCCTTTTTTATTGACAATGTGATGAGTTTTGGTTATCTACTTTGATTATCCCATTTATAAACGGCAAGTTATACAAATGCAAACACTGATGTAGCATATAAAGAAAAAAATGGTTGTGAACTTTCTACAGTTTACCAATAATGTACAATATCTGATATATTTGTTTATGACTGATTAATGATGATATTGGAGCAAAAAAATGTTAATATTTAAACAGGTTTTAAATTTTAAGACCATTGCATTGAATCACTATTGATCGGACCATTAACTCATTCACCCCTGAAGACACATTTGAACTCTTCCAATTCAAAGGTTGGAATAGTTCATTGTGAAACTTCAGGGGTGAATGAGTTAAGTTACAAAAGCGAACAAAAGAGCCCTAGATATGTTTTATGTTTTATGTGTAAGGCAAAACATGTTTAGCATCAGTTTCTGACTTAAGGATGTATGCTACCTTAACGATACATCTCTTGCTAAGGAGTTTCATGCTAACAAAAGATGTTTTCATGAATAGTTTGGAAACTGATTATGCAATATAGGGAGATAACACAAATCAAAGATAAATACTAGATGTCACTTAAGTAGTTTATTAAAAGAAAGTAATGAGTGTCAAGGGAGATAACTCAAAAGTAAATACAGGATTATTTGTAAGGTAAGATAAATATGTGAAGTAAACTTCTGAAAGAAGTTCAATGAACTTTTATTATGCTTCACTTGTAATATTTTTTTTACGGGTTGTGTGAATATTTTTCATGTCCCGGTCTCTGTACAATTTAGTACCAGAGGAATTTTACAATGAGTTAACAAATGTACCCCTGGAGTCGTTACGCCAGGACGTAACAAATGTACCCCTGGAATCGTTACGTCAGGACGTAACAAATGTACCCCTGGAGTCGTTACGCGAGGACGTAACAAATGTACCCCTGGAGTCGTTACGCCAGGACGTAACAAATGTACCCCTGGAGTCGTTACGCCAGGACGTTTTATTATGACATGTTGAACCATACAGTTATTACAATGTACCATGATAACAAGTTAGATTATTAAAAGTCTTATAAATTAAATACTATTTTGTTGTTTTTCCTAGGGCCCTTACCTCACAATGCAATATGTATCACGGTACAATGCTTACTATATGTATCAAGATACAAATATCTGCTGAAAAGGTCAACTTCATAATGATTGTCTGCAGGATTTTATCAAGTTTTGTTCAAGACTTCAATAGTAAATACTATCAAAATATATTTTTGTATAATTGAATTTCTCGTACTTCCGAGTATGACTGCACAGTGGACAACATCTTTACTGAAGGATACGATACACAAGAAATTATCGCGATACAATACGATAAATTGTTGCAGCCCTACTGTATAGAGTAAGTTGAGGTTGTGGGATAACCAGTGTCTATATCAACCATAGTTTTGCATCACGAGCCTACTCCTCCCAAATAGCTGCACAGATCGTCACAAAATTGATCAGTATAATTATTAGGAAAATTGGATCATTTATTGCATATATAATTTTCCTGCAGTACTTAACAAGGGAATTATTTCAAGACCTATTCTTCCTGCTTGGATCCTCACCAACTTTATTGTGAATGAACATTGGTACAAAGCTAGCCCGAGTTTCCCCGACACCAGATATTTTGACAGATATATGTCTGGTGTAACTTGAGCATATTTAAGTTGTATACTCTACAGCCCAACAGTAGTACTCGGGCAAACCGAACGTTCGGTAGGGGAGGTTGAATTAAAAGCCTACTCTCCCCAAATAGCTCCATAGATTGTAACCATACATCCATGCTACCCTTGTTTGCCCTGGGTCTGTCTATCCAAGGGGATAGTCTTTAGTCATTATATGGAAATGAATTAATTCTCATCCTATAGCCATACAAATCTTAGGCAGGTATGAAAGGACGAATACAGATCTGCCATCAGAACAAGAGGGATTGGGTCCAGTAATGTTTACAGAAATGACCAGTTTGAAAAAAGTGTTTAATGGGAGATTGGATTACTGGAGACTTTCATTCGAACATCTGGCCTCTGACCTCAAGTTTTTTTCCTTTTGTTATAATAGAGATGAAACGATAATCAAAATTACACTCAAGACATGATTAAACAAGTTCTGTTCAATTTTTTCAAGACAGTTTTAAATTATTAGCTGAAAAACACATAATGTCAGTGTTATCCCTTTGTTTAGGCCCAGCAATATACAATGTCCTTTCACCTCAGAAGATTTCTCACACGCTGACCATGCACTTTAAAATTCTGAGTCACGTGTTTCAGTTTGGTAAAAAAGGAGGTAGAGGGAGAAAGGAAGGATGATTTCATCATTAGCCATATGTGGTCCAAGGGAGGCAATTTATCGTTTGTCAAATGAAAACCTATACAAAGAGAGATGACTCTTAACTGTCAGATGGACAAGAAAGTTGAACATCCATCTGGGCTATGTAACTGCTGTAGAATGTAAATTTCATGTATCTTACAACAATTATTATTAATCAAATTTTCTCAACTTATGCTAACCACACTTCCTGGCCTGGAAATGTCAGGAAACTGGAGCACCTACATCACATGGATGGGCAATACCATTTTGTCTGATTGGGAAATCAAAACCTGGCTGTCTTGGTGACGGGCTAGTGTGCTATCCTTTGAATGCGCCCTCAAATCACCATATAATACTGTGTTACAGGGGAGGAAAATGCATGGCCAGACCGGGGTTTGATCCCGGGACCCTCCAAACTCTAGACGGACGCTCTACCAATCGAGCTACCTGGCTGCCGACAATCGTTCCAGTCTAGTTCCGCTACAACTGCATGTAACTAGACTGATTCTCTGATCCAAATATTTTCAATATCTTTGCAATGAGCTATTTGGTGATAAAACATTTTTTGAGAAAAGTCAGTCAGACAGTGTCGTCTCCGGCATCAGAAATGAAAATTTCTACCAGATGGTTATTTGTCAAAAATAAAAATCACTGTGATTTAGTACAAGAAAATTTATTTCATTTGTGATAATCATTAAACGGAAAATATGCATATATCCAAAACAATTTTGCTGACTCCGTAGATCTTTTATAAATGGTATAATGAATTGATGACACTTCTGAAAAGTACACAGATTTAAAGTAAATAAGGAGACACGATCATAAAATATCAAAAGTTGCCTATTGAAAACTTTATCAATGGAGATAGCTCGGACACACATACAAAGAAAACAAATATTTACATTTGACATAAATTGAACACTTGATTATTTTTTTGGTCTGGTATAGCCCGTGGTATTGCACAAAGTATAGGAATACAGTGATCGTTTAAGTTTTGTCATGATCTGTGCACCATTAAACAACTGTTTCATCAACCCATTCCCTCAAAAAGTCAACATTGAGACTAGAACTTGCCCGACACACCATTTAAAATTTTCTTATTTATAGAATGTAAAACATCAAATTGTCATTAACTAACTTTATTTTATTATTTTATGAAGATCATCAGTTATGCAAACTTATATCAGTGTATAGTGAAGACAATGTATGTAACTTGGGTTAATTTATAATAGGAATTCAAACCCCAAAATTCCTCTCTTCAGGGATTCATTAGTGAAATGGTTAACCCTTTCACCCCTAGGTAACTTGAGTAGACTCTCCCACACATTCATTTGGATGAGTCCATTGTGGTCTACAGTGGTGAAAGGGTTTTAAGATACACCATCATTGACATGATCGTAGGTAAAACATAAACAAATATACAGTACTGACTGGTCATGTGAAATTTTTCAAAAAAATATATACCATGACGTCTGTATAAAGGAAACTTCCATCACTGCCGACGTTGCCGTGGTAATGAAGGCAAACGAATCATGACAACGAATATTCACACGCTGTATATATACCATAAACAGGTAGCACAGGTACAGGGCAAATTAACACTGCGCAAATATGGATTTTACCAGGGAAAGGCAAATATTTGATTAGGTGAAAATTTCCCAGTATACAGTACACTACTTACTTCGGTAAATACACTTACATATACCAAAAAATTACCATGATTGATTTGGATTAATTTTCCTTCAGGATTTTGTTTTTGTCAAGTCCTCCTTTTTTGATAATGTTTCTACCATTTAAATCTTTAAGATGCAACACTTGACTAGACTATTTTTTTCCAATAATTTATAGTGATAATAATGTCACTTATCTATTGTTAATCTGTCAACAAAAGTGAAAATAGCATAGAAAAATATTTTTCAGTCCACATACTTGTGGATTTAATATCAGCTTTATCATTACTATTGCTGGCAAGATTTTTTTTTGAAAAATGAAAATATTAAATTGATCTCCCCCTTCTAAAAAATCTCCATTGAAAACATCTAATTTCAAAATGATATGAATATTTGACATGATTTATCGCTTTATAGAGCTAAAAGTCTTTAAAAGTTGTATATTTTTATACAAATGCAAAAATGTTTTTTTTAATCAGAACTACATACAGGTACAATAATTACCATAGCAACACCAATGAGTCATGACACACATGTATTATCATTTAAATGAATGTGTCTCTCAGCAATATCCCAGCATTTCTTTACAACCATATCACCATGACAACATGCATCAAATACACCAGCACTTGTATACACCCAATCACCATAACGACATACATACCGATCACACATCGCTCTCTTACTTACACAATTTCACCCTAACCATGATAGCAACCCTCTCCTTCACTACATCCACACATGTATACATTAATACACCGATAGATATACATTGGGATATGTTGACAAGGAATTTTATATATACAATTTAATGCTAATTTCTCCAGTTCTATTAACTAAACCCTAATTATTCAGGTAGAAACGGCCAGCATCCGACGAAAGGGTAATCAGCACCATTTATCATAGTTTATATGGGTCAGCACACGAGGTATGCCATCTTCAGAACAAAATGTCAATTAAAAAGTCATTTTTCATTACATTTTGGGCTGGACTTGTGTATTACATTTCGATGCCGTTTGAGAAAGACCACCAGAATATTAGGAAGATTTGGATACAGATGCTGGATCTTGTTTGCTTAGTATTGTAGTCCTAATTATGTTCATGTACTCTACTAAATCTTTTACATCTTTTTGAAATTTGCTGTCCTCACACATTTACAGGTAAAACGTAACTTGACATATTTGTTTGAAGTCTTCTTTATATGAGGATGATGTTGTTTCGTCTGATGCTCACAATTTTAGCACGATTTGTTTTATATTTTCAGCTTTCATCTAGTTGAGAATTATTCATGAACACAATTTCTAATTCAAGTTTCTGGACTACAGAAAAGCACTTGTTTAATACTGATAATATATATCTCATAATTTAATTTGACATCCACACGAAAAAACCCTCATTATTTATAATAGATAGCTGATTGCAGGTAACAAAAACAATCATTGTAGAAGGTGCAAATGGTAGCAGATCTGACAATACATAAAACATCCTAGGTTTTGACAGTGTCAGGTCCTAATCGTACCCGCCTGGTTGTTCCTTGTCAACATTTCCCGACATACTCAACAGCAGATTGATTTTCCTTCCCCTGTAGTAACCACTAGGTAGTCTCCCTTTGAGGAACTCATTCTCGGTGGATGAGAACAAACAGTCCTAGACAGGCAAGTATGGCATACTGTAAAGATAAAAGGGAGGGGACGGTTAAAAATAGATGTCCTTGTTAAAAGTAACATGATACAGTAAAACCCCACTAACTACAACTCGTTGGGTCCAGATCAATAGTTCGAGGAATACATGGTATTCAATGATTCTGAGGTTCGTCGGACTTCCGTCATGTTTTGATCAGGTTGGATGACAGACAGCAAAAGCACTGCACTTATTGCGGATAGTAGATGATAAAATTGAAAAAGAAATCAATAAACGGTACAGGTACTTCCAGGCATGTCGATGGCACACAGTTAGTGTTATACCCTGGTGAAAACACCTGTTTGACGAATGGATATAGGTTATAATTAAATACTTTATTATTAAGTGGTCGAAGATGAATCAGAAATCCAGGAACACAGAGTATTTGAGCAATGGCAGTTTGAGTAATGTGAGATTAATTTACAAAGAATATATAAGAACACGGTCGGGACCAAGCAAACTACTATCGAGAAATGCAAGTTCGAGTAAGTGGGGTTTCACTTTATCTATACTGTTAAAAGCCACAAACATGTGTTCAAAGGTCACTAAGACAGGACATAGGAACAAAGCATATATGGACTGTAAGTCGAAACAAGTATCTTACATATTTCTTAACATTTTCTTCAGGTTGGTAAGTATGGATTATGAAAAGTTCTTTTTACACAACCAATAAAATTTTCAATGTGACGTTTCGATGACTAGTATGATATGTACACTGTCACCTTCATCAGACAAATGACCAGTGAAGCGTATGCACAGAAAGGTATAAAATGTGAACAAGTTGTCCACAAAATTGATGTTGATTTCAGCTACGCTGCAAGCGTATGTACAATAGTTGTTATTTATGTACTCAAATTACTGGATTCAGCTGCGTTTTGTTTAATACTTGGTCATAGATGTGCGAGTCTTTGAGCCCCAAAAGAACACATTGTACTGGTCATCGAAACATCTAATAGAAAATTGTATTGGTTGTGTAAAAAGAACTTTTCAGAAGTAGCTTACATTGTCATTACTTAACTTTGTCACAAAAAGCTTTTTAGCACAGAGCTATTTGTTCACGAATAAACTTTATACGAAGGAACTTATTTCACAAGGATACTTGGGTCGAGTCTTACAAAAAATACTTTACTTTCCTATTTCTTAATGATTTTGTTTTATATAAAGTTGAGCATGTACAGAAAACATGTTGTGTACCCTAAAAAGAGGCCCAATGGGCCTGAATCGCTCACCTGGTATTAATCTCACACTACAGGCAGAATTTCAGTGTTTGATTCATAAGAACCTATTAAAAGATTTAAACATTTGATGCCCGTGACCTTGAATGTCGAACATGGACATTAGGTTGAACAGAGTTTATAGTCTTCCAACCCAGCATACTTCTAGCAAAATATCATCACCCTGTACCGTTTGGTTATACAGAACAAAACATTTGAAGATTTAAACATATATTGACCACTGTGACCTTGAATATGGGCGAAGGTCATTCACTTGAACAAACTTGGAAGCCCTTCATCCCAGCATGTTAATGGCCAAATATCATCACCCTTGGCCTTTTGCTTATTAAGAAGTCGTTTAAAGGTTTTTAACATATTTGACCCCTGTGACCTTGAATATATGTCATGGTCATTCATTTGAACAAACTTGGTAGCCCTTTATCCCAGCATGTTACTGGCCAAATATCATCACCCTAGCTGTCTCGGTTATTCAGAAGAAGTTGTTTAAAGGTTTTAAACATATTTGACCCCAGTGACCTTGAATATGATTTAAAGTCATTTATTTGAACAAACTTAGTAGCCCTTCATCCGAGCATGTTACTGGCCAAATATCATCACCCTAGGCCTCTCAGTTATTCAGAAGAAGTTGTTTAAAGGTTTTAAACATATTTGACCCCTGTGACCTTGAATATAAATCAAGGTCATTTATTTGAACAAATTTGGTAGCCCTTCATCCCAGCATGTTACTGGCCAAATATCATCACTCTAGGCCTCTTGGTTATTCAGAAGAAGTTGTCTTAATGTTTTTAACATATTTGACCCCAGTGACCTTGAATATGGGCGAAGGTCATTCACTTGAACACACTTGGTAGCCCTTCATCCCAGCATGTTACTGGCTAAATATCATCACCCTAGGCCTCTTGGTTATTCAGAAGAAGTCGTTTAAAGGTTTTTAACATATTTGACCCCTGTGACCTTGAATATATGTCATGGTCATTCATTTGAACAAACTTGGTAGCCCTTCATTTCAGCATGTTACTGGCCAACTATCATCACCCTAGGCCTTTCGGTTATTCAGAAGAAGTCGTTTAAAGGTTTTAAACATGTTTGACCCCAGTGACCTTGAATATAAATCGAGGTCATTTATTTGAACAAACTTAGTAGCCCTTCATCCCAGCATGTTACTGGCCAAATATCAACACCTAGGCCTTTTGGTTACTGAGAAGAAGTTTTTTAAAGTAAAAAGTTGACGCCGGACGGACGGATGGACGTACGACGGACGCCGCACCATGCCATAAGTTCACTTGGCCCTTCTGGCCAGGTGAGCTAAAAATACTGGCTAGATACTGGACGACCAGATTATAAAAGAGTATGAACTTCTTCAGTGAAGGCTCAATATAATTCACAGGGAAAATGTAAAACTTAAGGGAAAAGGGGCAAATACTTCACAGGGTGAATATGAGTTTTTAATGATGAAAGATGATTTTTTTTCCCAATGGATGAGTATTGAATATTTTACTACTCTTTTTTCTACCTTAATTTAACAACAGCCTGTTCTTACATAATATATAGTATAATGTTATTTTTATTGAAATTCGAAAGAGGCTCCTCTTCTTATTCATTTTGGGAAAATACAGTAAGTTTTGTTTAGTTCACTGAGTGAATATAGTTTAAATTTAATTTTACTTGTAAAGGATGATCTTTTTAATTGGTGAATATGAACCGGTAAAGGGTGAACATTTAACCAAGTGAAAATTAAACGGTCAGAGCTAAATGAAACTTTGTTTTACTGATGAATGGTGATAATTGTTTGTGAGAGAAGATTTTTTTTACAGGGTGTTTCATAGTATACATTATATAAAATCCAGATTCTTACCAGGGTGTTTCATAGTATACATTATATAAAATCCAGATTCTTACCAGGGTGTTTCATAGTATACATTATATAAGATCCAGATTCTTACCTTAAACTTTGGATAGTCATTCATCAATATGGTCACTATCCCCACATAGGGAACAAATCTGGAAATAAAATTGATCAATAATGTACTTACACAGAATAAATACAGTAGTTTCCCAGATTCATGTGGTGCGAATAGATTCAAATTATTTCCACTTAAATAAATGACTTTCTTCACACTGCAGCTAATCATGTGTGCATATATGTATAACAGTACTGAAATAATAAACAATACCTTAGATAAAAGTTCTTCATGTAAACAGAGTCAATATAGAATCTCAATGATTTTATAAATATGATTATTGTTAAAACAAAATTCATTTTCAAGAATCAATGACTGTTTGAACGTTCCAGACATATTTCTATGATTTGTCGTATTAAGATAATTCCGTCTTTGCGTATTGCAGAGTTATCTTCTCTTGGTAACAGGTATTGATTGTTACGTCATTGGTCTGTGTGAGAAAATTACGTCGTTTTCTCAAAAATTGATGACGTTTCTCTCACAAACAAGTGACGTAACAATCAATACCTGCTCCCAAGAGAAGATAACTCTGCAATACGCGAAGACGGTATGTAACATAAGAGAAAATCTTACCCTCGAGCACGACCTACTACATCTTTTTTCTCCAGCCAGAGTTGACCAGGGGCGTATAGCCCTCTGTCGTCTACTGAATTATTATCTCCCTTGGTAAGAAATCTCACATGGCCGTCATCTCTGTAACAAAAATTAAGCAGGTAAACTTTTGAAAGGGCATTCAGGGATTTCACAATCTAATTTACAGGTATAATTATAACTAAATTTTAAATCTGGATGCAGTCTTGTCAAAATTGCATGAAAAGATTGAAATTTAACAAGAAACGGTAAATTGTATGTGTTATTCATCTTGAATGTGGTGGCAAACTGAGGAATTATACATAACATTTGTCTGTAACACCTTATAATTGTATTTGGACTGCCTCCCTTTACCCATATTCCTTTACTAAATTAACCACCATTGTTCATGAATTGCCTCCCTTCGCCCATATTCCTATTTCAATCTTGACCAAAAATCTAATGAAATTCCTGTATGCTGGGGTGGATTTCATTCAGATTTGATCTAAGCCATGGTCTTTTTTTTTATTATTAAGTTATTGAGTGAAATTTGAACAGATGTATCATAATTACAAAATACAAATATAAAAAGGAAAATACAGAAAACTACAGAAACTTGCAGAAATCATTTACATATATATACTTAATAATTTTATGACATTTTCTCATTCAATCAAGCTTTATATAAAGTTCCCTTGAACTTTGACCTTACTTTTCATGAACTTTCAGTACTCGATGTACAATAGGGATGTCTCGTCCTTCAACCTTAAATACAACGATTTCTCCGACACGGATAGGCTCCTCCTGGTAGTTTGTCAGGAACAGCAGGTCTCCTCTGTGAAATGCTGGCTCCATACTCCCACTGTAGAAAAACAAAACTACTGATAAAGGGATACTATTAACGGGACAGCAAACGCTAACACCATACTCCCACTGTAGAAAAAGAAAACTACTGACGAAGGGATACTATTAACGGGACAAAAAACGCTAACACCATACTCCCACTGTAGAAAAACAAAACTACTGACAAAGGGATACTATTAACGGGACAACAAACACTAACTCCATACAACTATTAGTTCAGAAATGTTATGACTACGGTCGTTGGGAGGATGCAATATCCTAAGAGACAGACCATCAATAAAATCAACAAGAGGCCTGTATGGTTACCTGTATTGGTAACATAATAAACCACTGAATATTAACCCTTTCAACACTGTAGGCTATAATGGACTCATCCCGATCAATTCATGGTAGAGTTTATTAAAGTAACATAGGGGTGAAAGGGCTAAAGGGCTACTAGTATTCCATAATTAATGGTATGGGGGAGGTGAGAGACACCTATATTTGATATATCATGGATGGTGGGCGTACAACTATGGAAGGGGATCACCGCCATAATGAGTTTTTTTTATATACAATGTCGTTAGTTACTTCTGGTTTGGAATCTAATTCTATGGTTGAATTCGGTCTCGCCATCAATTCCCATTAAGTGCTCTGGTTAAATCGATATCTAGGTAATACATGCATAATGATGGCATCAATGTACAGCTATAGGGACACTAATTAATGTGTGTAGATGCTGAATTTGACTTAAATTTTAGACTTCAGTGACTTCCTTATACATTGTACATCAGTGCACATTAAGAAAAGTTGTTAAGTCCATACCTCAGTAACAAAAACTATTACATTTGTAATGCTTAGGGTTGCTCTACTGAATGCATGCATGCATGATGAGGATGCTTAATCTGACCTTTCATTAAACACTTAGGTGCCTTCCTTTTATCTTAAATATAAATAAACTTTAACATTAAAAAGGAATTGCATGCATATCTGGATAATTATAAATGCTGCATAGATATAAACTTAAAACAATGATCAGTGTTGCAAATTAAAATTATTTATTTGATTTGAATTATTATATTAGAAATATATACCCCGATACCCCGAACCATTCACAATAGTATAATTTACTAAATTCGACTACGGATTTGTCTATATGAAGCAGCGGATATTGATGACAGCACGTTTTTCTTGGGTTTGAAAGTATGTATGATTTTTGTTTCAATTAAACATTTTCATTAAAAACTCCTGATTCATTGGTATGGACAAAAATACATAATGGTTTACTCAGATTGACTGTAAAAATAACTTGTTAGGTGGAGGAAGTTGGTTCATATTCTCTTTATCTGTGACCTATGGTAATATTGCCCCAAAAGCCACTTCAAACTCTTCTCCAAACTTCAGCTAAAATGTATATGTATATAAGAATAAGACATGCACAGTAAAGGTGATAAAGAATTGAAATTGGGGTCAGATTGTCATAGGGGGTAAGGGGTTGTTAAGTTAGTGCAACATTTAACCTACATAGATGTATGATTACATTATCTTATGATACGTATACAAATCCCTTTGCTTGTTTTTTTTCCCTTTTTTTTAAAAAACGACAATTTTCCCCCCAAGACGGACTTTGTTAATTTCGTAAAAGAGTTATTGCATGGGTAAGGATTCGTTTTTTCAACAGTTATGCAATATTTTGATAACATTATACTCAAATGAGGCATGAATTATATGCAACCTTACAGATTAACACTTTTTATTTTGCTCCATTAGTTGACATAGGACCGCTTCGTAGCTCTGACTACGCAATATATAAAAAATAATCTCGTCGTCAGAAAGCTACGTTATCGCAGCTAGGGTCAATTAAGCTGATATGGCAGGGAGGATTTCAAACTGAAGCTGATACGGAGCCGTATCAGCTAAACGGCCTGGGGAGAACCCTGAATGTGTGTATGGGAGGGGTAGACAAGCTTTACGCTCTGTCAAGATTAGACTCGCATTTAGTTTATGTGATTATTTTCTGGACTTGAGCAAGTCTATAATTGTTCTTTTTGTGCAGGTCTTAAATTTATTCTCGCACAGTCTACATCAATATTGACGGCATCATCAATATGTTCTTGAACATATATTAAATTTATGCAGTAATACAAATAAGAACCCTAAAAATACAATAGTCAAAACGTAAACAAATAACGACATTGCGTCAGTACTATGATCTGGATGCGGTTGAGGAGCGGTCCGTGTATATTAAAGACGATCGCAGCGCCGCTTGTCGTCATAATTAAGAAACCTCTCGTATTTCATGTACTGGGTTACTAGTTTACTAGATGACTATCTAGCTATTTCCGAATAAGAAGTTAGTTTCGAATTTCTGTTTCTACAAAAATGACGAAAGCATCAAATCAACCGATAGAATATACTGATTATATACATCACAGGGATCACATAAGTCTGGAATGGATTGAATACTACAAGCTAACACGAAATCGAGATCAGTAAAACTAGCATAGCATGGAATGAACATACAATAGATTTGTAAACGAGTGAAACAACACAAATGTACATAGCATGGAAAATAGACACTTATCAACTAGGTAAATAATACAAATCTTAATGTACATAGAATTAGATTCAAAACCAGGAGTAACTAATTTATAAAAAATAATTATGGCGGTGATCCCCTTCCATATACAACCCGATCTGCCTACCATTCCTTACATGAAGCCTGTAACGCTATACTATACGACAGTGTTTCTTTGGGAGACCAGGATACACCTACGATATTTTCCACATTTTGTCATTTCTGAATTTAGTCAACTCATATATGTTTAAACATGGTGAGTGACAGCTCCAGCTCGGAATGCACGCCAAAAGAAATGAATTGTGTAAAACTTTAAAGTCATGCCAATTTTGGACTAAGTCTCTTTCCTGTTGTAATAATATTGTGATTAAAATTTTGCAACATATCTTTTTGTTTGCTTCTACTGTTACTATATGTATCGTGACCACAGTATCATAATGTTACTGTATGTATCGTGACCACAGTATCGTGATGTTACTATATGTATCGTGACCACAGTATCGTTATGTTACTGTATGTATTGTGACCACAGTATTGTGATGTTACTGTATGTATCGTGACCACAGTATCGTGATGTTACTGTATGTATCGTGACCACAGTATCGTAATGTTACTGTATGTGTCGTGACCACAGTATCATAATGTTACTGTATGTATCGTGACCACAGTATCATGATGTTACTGTTTGTATCGTGACCACAGTATCGTAATGTTACTGTATGTGTCGTGACCACAGTGTCATAATGTTACTGTATGTATCGTGACCGCAGTATCGTAATGTTACTGTAGGTATCGTGACCACAGTATCATAATGATACTGTATGTATCGTGACCACAGTATCGTAATGTTACTGTATGTATTGTGACCACAGTATCGTAATGTTACTGTACGTTGCAGCCCTACCTTACGTTACAGTAAATCACTTTTAATATTTGATGTGTGGTGTAGTCTCTACAAAAGTGCCTCACTACTCAACCCATATTATGATTATTTCCAGAACAGTACTAAGTAAGCTTAAAGGCATTAAAGGCATTTAATAGTGCGAGTGCCATGCACTCCTCGATACTCCAGGGTTCCGCTCACTGCACCCCAGGAATATGTCTAAGCAAAAATGTGTCTAGGGTAAATGCCAAAACACAAAAAAGAAGAACATTTTATTCTGTTATTCAGGGGAAAGCAATGCAAGACTTACATCAGTTTTTGTTTAACATACTGACCTAAGCACCACCACAATAGGACTTTCACTTCCCGTGACAACCATCAGGCCTTTCCAGATCATCAGCGCTGATGACACGATCATACCAAAGTTTAACACCTGGTAATATAGCTGTAAAAACAAAGATACAGTTAGCTGACACGAAGGATAATACAAGTTATAGGATAGACAACAGGACAATCTTAAAGGTCTTGCATATGCAACTGTATCATGATCAGGAGAAAGGTCATTAACTCTAGACGGATGCTCTACCAAAACTACCTGGTCGCCGACAATTTACCCAGTCCAGTCCCGCTACATTCCTTCCAGCTTTTTTCGAAGTCTTAACCCCTGAAGACACAACTACTTACAGCCAACTTTCTTGTATCCCCTTGTAAAGTATTCACCCAGTGGTTGAAACAAGGGCTGGCAAGGTTGCCAATTTTGTAACATTGGAAAAGGGAAATGCACAGCCAAACAGGGATTGGAACACTTGACCCTCCAAACTTTAGACATACACTCTACCAATTAGGCTACAATGTACCTGGTCGCTAACAATTGACAAATCTCAGTTCCGCTACACAACAAACTTAGCCTGATATATTCAATCAGCCCCCATTTACGATGAATTCAATCACTAGCTTATCACGAGTGTAGTACGATTTCACTAGCCTAACATTCAGCTAAGACGCCTTTAGATTTAGAATCCTGATTTGAGTTAATAATTTACAGCGAAAATGTAGACTGGTAGGCTTTTATAATTGAGCTGACAGCAGAGGAAATTGTACAATTTCCTACAGTCAGAATAAATCTGTGTATATGTGTATCTTTACTCTGGGGCATAGGTGGTGGGCACGTCTATCAAAAAAAAAATTGAATATATAAAACTACAGTTTTATATATTCATTTTTTTTTGATAGACGTGCCCACCACCTAAATTGAATATATAAAACTACAGTTTTATATATTCATTTTTTTTTTTTTGATAGACGTGCCCACCACCTATGTCTGGGGCATCTACAAAGGGGGTGTCCAAAATACCATTTTTATTTCCAACTAACTCGAGTGTGACTTTCTTGCAAAAAGTGCTTCTTAACGATAAGTCTTAGTACATATAGTATTGTATACCATTAAATATTTGACAAGCGGTGTTATACAACTGAAAATAATAATGAGAAGTAAATGCACCCCCCCCCCCCCCCCCCCCCCTTCTATTGTACAATGAGATTAGTCTCGAGTAATTAACGGACTGTGATATTTATCTCAAATTAACTCCTGTCTTCCTGGAGATATATACTTTGAGCTCCTGTCTATATCATATAATAAACTAATGTCAACATAGATTGAGCATGACAGGCCGGACAGCTGAGTCGTATGCAGACAGTATATGTCACCCACACGTTTACGTAGTAAACAGCTGTCGGTCACAGCAAGTGGTCATTGGCCTCAATCACGTAAATAATGTGTCCCGTGGTGTTCATAATTGACTGGCAATCATACTTACCTGTCGTTTATTCATTCGCCGGACATCGTCCAGGAATTCGAACCCAAACATCCCTGACATTTTCTCTTTCGACATAGGCAGATACCGCTTTTCCTTATTTCGCCGGTTTCACTGACGCAAAGTCTCGCGAGAGCTATGTTATATGTAGTTTACAAGATGGAAAGCGGTATGTTTTTTCCGGAATATAATAAAATTGCAGTTTTAATAAAAAAGAATTTTAAGAACAGACAAAAAACAGAAGTTATGATAAACTGGTTTGAAAATTTCAAATAGTAAACAACATACAGTAATTAGCTGCTAGTTCGACATAAGTAACTAGCTTTGAAAAAAAAATCCGCACATCTTATCCTATCCAGAGACGTATAAAGCCATGTGTTATATACGTCTCTGTCCTATCTGAAAATAACGCACACTTCCACAGATATCTTCTGACAAAATACAAAGCATGTACAGAACGTTTAATCCTTTGACAGTCTGTTCATGATGTAAATACATATATAATTATAATTGTATTTTGTATTTTATACGGTTGATAAAAACTCGATAAAACCTCATAATAAAATGATTGCAAAATAATTTAGATTTTGTTTTCTATGTAAAATTATGGATATGTAATTTTGATAGAATCTCAGAAAAAATGTACCAAAAGCAACATTGAGAAAATGCTTTTCCCATTTTTTCTAGAATAAAGAAATAATGAAAATTATATATTTTATCACATTTAAATTTTTAAAAAATGCTAGGAAAACTGAAGTATTGTTCTGTGTGTGGGAAACAGTACAAAGAGAAAAAATATCATTGTGTAGCAAATATTTATTCCTTGATTGAAGCATTGCAAAAAATAATCACCAGAATCGATACATTAAAAATAGAGCTATCAAGTAAAGAACCTGCTGATTCGCTCAGTGTCTGTCTAATGGTTTTATAATTGATTGTATTATTTGATTGTTTTAGTAGTCACCAGCTCCAAATTGTTCCAAATATGCACTACTTTGAGTGTGGATTTTTTTTTTCCTGTCAGAAAAACTTGAGTATGGGTTCCCGGAGTTGCCTCCCCTTCTATGTCGTGCAATAATGCTATGTATTTCACTCGGTCCGGTATGGTGGCTATCATAATGATTAGCTGACAGCAGCGCACCCGCCCGCGAAATAACGCCAAAGCGAAAAGACGAAATAACGCCAAAGCGCCAAAGCGAGAAGACGAAATAACGCCAAAGCGCCAAAGCTAAATCACGAAATAACGCCAAAGCGCCAAAGCGAAATAACGAAATAACGCCAAACCGAAGTGAAAATAACGCAAAAGCGAAGAGATCAAATGGCGTCTTTTCTCCCTCCTTTGGGCGTTATTTCGTTATTTAGCTTTGGCGCTTTGGCGTCTTTTCGTCTTTTCGCTTTGGTGCTTTGGCGTTATTTCGTCTTCTCGCTTTGGCGCTTTGGCGTTATTTCGTCTTTTCGCTTTGTTGCCTTCCGGTTCTGGATATTAAAGAAACGCTATCTCCGTGATTATGATTCCCCAATGACTTTGCTAGTGAAATGGAAATTAAAATGCACAAATGTGACTCATGTTTCAGCATTTTAGGAAACATTTTACAACAACAATGATTAATATGTTTATCATTGTTAAATTAAAGAAAACAAATAAATTCTTGTGTCCTTCTGTTCGTCCATCCGCCTGTCTGTCTTCTGTAGGTATGCTGTATGTATTCCAACCAACAGAATATACTATTGTTATTGGCTGATCAATAAGAAGCATGTACGTGATTACACGTATATGTATAGTATATAGAATAGGAGGTTGTTTATACGATGAATTTCGTCGATGAAAATAGTTTTGATTTGTTCTGTTTTATGTTATTTTCCCGATAAAGAAATAATGTCATTACATTCTGCATAGTTATACTCGTGTGTTATGTATTTATTTTAGGAGAGGGCGCCGGTATTACTGGGGATTTTTTTTAGAAAATAAGCCGGTGAGAAACGCGAGTATTAGGACGAGAAAAACAAATAGCTACATTGTTTAACAGTTTTCCTACGTAATATCTTTATGAATGATAGCATTCTACATATATAAATGACATTGTCACGATTCTGACGCATACATAACCGGAAAAAGCCGGGGGGG